TGCCTGTATTAGATGTTTTTCAAGCTAGATTGATTTACTTGTCAGTTGATTTCCTAATCAAGCAGTGCAAACCGATTAAGACCCTTGACAGAAACCGATGAAGTGGATGATGGCATTTATATTTTGCACTAGTATATAGCAATATCGGGATTCTTTTCTGCTAATGAAGTCAGTATCTTTGACACATCTGCTGCAGGCTGCATGAATTGGAAACCTTCCACAAAAGTGTTGTTAAAGAACTTGCTGATCTCGAGAAGAAAACAGAGTTTCTCTCAAGCCTTGAAAAGGGGACTGTGGTATGTGTGATTTTTTTTCTTTCTCCGTTGTTCGTTAATCGATTTAATGCTTTTGTCATCTGACTCACATTCACAAAATTTGTTACAGGAATTTTGGACAAAACAATCCCATAAACTGAGCAGTAAACTGAATGCATTTTGCATTCATCAGATACAGAGGTATTTTCTCCTGTTTGTCCAAAAAGCACCATTAAACTCTTCCTTTGCACATCTTTTTCTCTGGGATGTGGGTTCAAACATATCTATCTCACCATTTCTAGATTGTGTTTACGCTATAAATTGAAAGTAACAGACATCAGGAAATGGATGGTACTTTCTTCTCCTGTGCTATTTGCAGTTTTCCCTAGCGGTTTGAGTAAGCTTTTTTTTTAAAAAAAAAAAGTTATATAGCAATAGCCCTTAGCAGTAGACTTATATATCACTCCATAATGCTTTACAGCCCTCTCTTGATGGTTTAGCATATTGCTCTCAACAATATGGGTCCTTATTTTACTGACCTCAGAAGGATGGACGTTTGAGTCAATCTTGAGCTGGTCAGGATCGAACTCCTGGCTGTGGGCAGAGTTAGCCTGCAATACTGCATTCTAACCAATGTGTCACCGTGGCTTATTCACATATACAGTATAATTTCCAGGTTAGGCACAATTGATTGTGTTGTACCCTGACTTGCAAATCCTATATTGGGCAGAGACTTCCAAATTTGCTACCTCTGATATTTTACCTGACACATTCATTTCTTGCTTTTTGTACTAGAGGTGAAAGACCTATCCTATATTGCACAAATAACAATGAAATTTAGATTGCAGACTTTTGTTCTGGGTCTGTTGTATGAGTGAAGTGTGAACTAGATAGATAAACTTCACTTCTAAGCAGTTCTGTTTCCACTTTGCACATCTCAGTTGCTTCTGCTTTGCCTTTTATTGCAGAATAGAGTCCATGGATATACTGCAGGAAAACATGAGGGGCCTTGATGGAACCATTCACAATGAAAATGTGTTATAATTCAGTGTACATTTCAACACGAAACTTGAGAAATGTAAGGATTAACAGATTTCAACTGAGTATGAAGATACATTTTTACTAAACATTTCACACAGAGATTTAAGTATCTGGTCTTCAGTTACCCACATGAGCAATTCTGTTCAGGTTGACACTCACCTGATCAACATATTGTGGCTTTTTCTGTATGATGGGTTATTTTAACTTGTGGTTAGTTTTAGTTTCTGTTGCAAGATGTCAACATAAATTTTGAAATGGTTTTCCTTCTTTCCCCACAGGATGGAAATGCCACTGACCACACAGTAGCAAAACTTCCACTGGTTTTGCTAACTTACATTTATTTTAAATGTAAGCTTAAGGAACACTCATCAAATACATCAAATCACTTGAAAATACACTGGATGAATATATTCAATATGTAGTAGTCATTGTCTCGTTATTCAGCACCATCAAATTTTCAGATGTTTTCTTGGCCAGAAGGGGGATAATACTGACGAGGTTTTGCATTGGAAGAAAACCCTTCAAATTCTGTTTTGAACCACAGCAATCAGCTACATTAGAGATTTACATTATATATATATATATATGTTTTCTGACACATATATATAACACATATATTTCTAACACACACATATATATATATATATACACACACACACATAAAAACCCAGTTTCCAGCAAAAAAAAATGGCCCATAGCAAATAATAGACTTGCTTAATGAATGCAGTGTTTGCTTTACAACTGCAGCATCCACTGCAAAACAAGTTTAAATCAGATTGGTCACTTGATAACCTGCTATACAACTGTCATGACTTATCATAATTACTAGGTCAAATCACGGTGGTAAGTCAAGGACTATCTATATACAGTATCTGGGATGAAACAGACTGGAGGACTACTAGACTAGGGGTTCCCAATCCCCGGGACCGTCACCTGGGCCACTGCGTGCCAAGACCAGGCCACACAAACAAGCAAAGCCCCATCTGCGGGATTCAGATAGCACATACAACCACGCGCCCCCTTCCTCCAGTCAACAGAAAAACCTCTCCATGGAACCGGTCCCTGGTTCCCACAAGGTTGGGAGCCACTGTGCTAGACTACGACTGCTACTGGACAAATGACCAGTATCTTCTTTTGGCATCCTGTTAGGAATTTTGAAAAATGCACTTCAGCCTGTTTTGAGTACCTTAGAAAAGAATTAATCTTCTAAATCTTCATGAGCTTTAAACATAACTCTGCATTTCACTTTATAAGAAAGTGAATCCTTTCTGTTTCCGCTTGTTCATGATAATCCATGGAAAAACAACTTACAAATGTTTTGCAAGTCTTGGAAATCAACGTGGTATCACTGCAGTAGTTTGGTAAGCTAAACAGCAAGGAAAGAAACTAATGATAAATTGCATTTTTAAAGGAAACACACAGTTGGTACATAGATCTCTTCTACATCTTGAAAGAGTAAGGCTGTTACAATAAAAAGTGGTATAGGTTTTATCAGGTTGAAGAAACTAACTGAAAGTTAACAATAATACTGTATTTGAAGCTATTACAGTGCCACATGGACAGAAAAGAGAAGACTTTAAAATACATTGCTGTAAAACTTCATTTATTTTCAATGGTCAATGTTTACAAGAAAATAATTTTAAAAGTCATAATCTTGGTTGCGATTCAAAATAGCAGCACTTTGATTGGTTTTTTCTGCATTCAGTGAATACCTGAATGTAGCTTATTCAAATAGTTTTAAATGTTAACTTGATAACATTTTTTCCAGCCCTTTAAAAGCTTGATTAAGCCTTAATCATTAAGGCAATGTTAGTTTTTTTTAAAAAAAAACCATCAAGGTGAGACAGACAATCCTTGTGCAATTTACTATCTCTACTATTCACTGACCTGTGGAAAGGTTTCTAAGAGGATCCCTTCAGGGACTCCTGAACATTGTTCATTATGGGTCCTCCTCATTACAGAGATTTGATGACTTACTTTGATTAAACCCTCTTCAATTGTTACCTTCAATAAACCTAGGTTTCAATTCTCTGCACTCCCAATCAATCAGATCATGTAGATTGGAATTCTAGAAGTTAGTCTCATGCAGGGGTCTCTAAACCTGGCAACTTTTAAGACTTCTGGACTTCAACTCCCAGAATTCCACCACCTGAATCTGGGTGTTGAAGTCTACAAGCCTTCAAGTTGCCAAGTTTGGAGAGTCCTGGCCTAATGCATCATTGTGACAGAATATTATTTTTCTAGGGTTTTTGGTGCTGACTTTCAGTAGAGTGTTATGGGGAATTACATGAAACTTCTTTTGGGAATTAGAATACAAAATTCCAATCATACTATTGAACCTTTCAGAGAAATACTTAAGCTGGATTGGTGAAAAAAATGTTTGCAGTGGATCTCTGGCTGTTCTTTTTTCATGTCTTCCTCCCTCTGCAATAGGAATGATAATATTTGGTTATGAAGTCAGACACTAAAAATACAGAAATGGTGTGCAAAATAAAATATAAAATGGCCAGCCAAATACCAACTCCCCCCCGCCCTCATCATTTTACTTTTAGAACTGAGCATGTCTCTTGAGTTTGTAGAATTACTAGCTTTGCAAATGCTTTTCTCCACCTTTTACCTATTTCTACAATAGGAAAACATTTCAAATTGGATAAATGCATTTAGCCCTGTGTAGAGTGATTTGGGTAGTCCCATCTTCAGTATTTGAATACTAAGCTGAATATAGCTTTTCACACCTCATGGTGTTGAATTGTACCTGATATCCAAAATGCCAAGTTGGCATGCATGGGCAAACCTGTTTTCAGGAAGGCCGAGTTTCCTTGTTGCATTGCTAGTCTCAGTTATATTATTAACATTAACGTACACTCAAACAGCCATCTGATTTGCTGAATCGGTTTTCATTGCCTGTAGATGTGGCTTAATGAAAATAGAAAGTGTCCCTATTGAATTTCAAAGTAACAATTGACATTTGGGAATAAAACCAACATTTTTGGTCTTCAACCTCCAAAGTTAATAACATTCAGGCCATTGTGATTGTCATGGTGTTTAAGATGTACAGCTACAGATACAAATATTTAAGGAGAGATTTATGGAGCTATTGAGCTATTCTTGTTTAGTTTTAAAACAGTGCATTTTACAAAGGTGGCATTAATGTTCAGATGGTTTCACTGTAACTAAATGAATTTGTAATTAATCCCATTGCACTATGTATTCCATCCTGTATCTAGAATGGGTAATAAGAGCAATCTATAGCACCGTCAAGGCAACAACCAAGATTTTGAGTACAAAGATTTCCCCCCTCTATTATAAATCAAGGGAAACGAAGAGAACACAAAAAAGGAGTGAGCTGTACAGCTGAACAAATAATACATATTGTTTTCTCATAGACTTCAGTCTGGCGCCATTTTAACTTTTTAGATTCTATTCAAAAATATCCAAATCGTTGTTATTAAAAGGAAAGTTCTCAAGGCATGTTCTCTATATTAAGAATTACAGAATGCCATTTGACTTCAGCCCAATAAAAGAGGTAAGTGCCTTCACCATTTACAAGTCTTATTGTTAAAAAGAAATCAATTAAATAGAGTAGAAGAATCAGTTACCACCGAGTTTAAAACTGTACTAAAGTTGTGTATAATAGTTTTGCTTTGTTTTAGAAAAGTGTGGTGAGAGGTATTTGTATTCTACAATGTAATAGTAAAAATATGGTTATTGTGCTTTTTTCTTCAGAGCGCCATTAATTTCCTTTAGGTAGTTTTTATGGAACCCATTCTTAATTTCTGTCACCAGAGGAATCTCTTTCGCATTGGCTTTTGAAGATGCTTTCCGATATGTCTGAAAAGAGAAGTTAAAATGGTGATTGTAAGCAGATATAAAGAAGCATGCAGATGTGATCTGTCTAATGCTTAAGCACACAATCTCACATCAATACAATATTTTCATACTAGGTAATGCCCACTTAATTTAACAGTTTTCATATCTTGCTATTGCAAGTTGGTTTGTAGAACTATCCCTTCTGACTTTGTGGAACAGCTAAATAGGCAGCACAAACTGCACTTTTTCTTTGCCCTTTTAATGCACTCCACCCCACCCGGGACATAGATCCAACAATATTATATTTGTGAATAGAAGAATTTTGCAGAAAAGTTCTTCCAGCTCATCTTTTGCCCATTATGCAATCATACTTATCCTGATAATTGCATTATTTCTTCTTATAAGACAATGTAATGAAAAGATGGGTGAGAATATTTTGTCCTACCATTCTTTCCTACTTTAAAAAACACAGGCAGTAAATTTGCCAAGTTGAGGTGTGAAAAGTCTAGCTTTTATAACAGCACTGGGTGAGCCACTTCTGAAGGACATTTTCTCAGATAAAGAGCGTAGCTTTGGGTACCAAGAGAATGCAGTATAATTGTAACAGAAGAAGCACAGCCTTGAGGACAAGATAAATGGAATAGCTAGAAAAAAGATACAGGTTGTGCAAAAAAAAAAAAAGAGAGAGACCGAGAGAAACAATACAGAAGGACTGTTGTATTTCCACAAGGGATTCTATGGGAAGATTTAAATTAGCCCAACATTGCATACAAGACTATGCTAAGCTGGATAAAATTCATGTAATGAATAACTTGCCCCTATTTATATAGCCTCTACCTAAAAGGGAGAGTCTATAGAACAGTCTATCCCTCTGAATTCACACAGTGAGGAGGATGTTGCGTCCAATAGCCTAAATTAACTTTTTCAATTTTATGAATGCTTTCCTACTGTTTGAGAAATGATGTATGAGTCCTATATGAGGTTACTATTGATTTGCAGTTAGAACTAGACTGACTAGTTATATTCATCATTTGACTATGTGACTCACTATCAATCCTTAGCAGGTAAGGCTGTGCAGTGCTTTGAAGTCAAGGGCAAAAAGAGTTAGGGTAGCGTTCAGACCATGCAGGAATATGCATGTAGCAACTTAATTTAACATCATATTTCATGGGGAAAATAAGCGCGTCAAAGAGAAACAAAATCTCGGATCAAACTAGGTTGGACAATCAATCAGAAGCAGCATATTACTTAAATCCTCAAAGCAGAGGTGCTTGTGTTTCACGTGACAAGTTTCATTCCTTAAAAACAGACCTGTGCCTATACTTCTTCATTCTCTTGCTCCGCTTACCTTGACGTAAAAGTTAACGAACAGAACCACCAATGTGGCCATGTAGGAGACCTGGAAGATGAGGCATCCAAAGGGAAAACCACAGGGTTTGACAGCTGCACTGAGTGTATGTGTAATGGTGAGCAAAAACTGAATCTGTTAAAAAGAAAACATCGCACCAGTTGCAGAATGAATTTGTCAGATTAAAATTGATCCTCATAATATGATCATTAGAAATGGTCTGTTCTGTCCAGGCAAGTGATCTGCAGCCATACCATAATTGTTTGGGGAGGGACCATTTGGTGGGGCAGTTTGGAACAAGAGGGGAGAACTGGAATAGATCTACATTTACCAATAAGTGTTGCAATGCACATTTGTCTTCTAATTTAAAATAACTGCTCAAATATCAAACACTTGATGATTTACAACTGCTCTGTTTCTCATCAAATCTATTTCCTTTCTTTGTCTCGCTTTCTGTGTTACGTAATTCTTGGAATAGATGACTATATTTTCTGAGCTTCAGAGCATACTGTGATCTTTCAGGTGCTGAAGTACATCTGCCATCATTTCTCATTTATGATCATTGTTAGTGTTTTGGGGACAAACCCCCAAGCAGAGTGCACAGCAGCAGTCAGGTCAGGCAGCCAAACGAGAGAGAGGCTGGGCCCAAGAGTATACACACACTGGAGACAAAAAACACTGTTTGTAGTTTTAAATAGTTATTTAATTCATTTAGAGTTTAAGCATTGTCATTCAGTCCATATGTCATTTTCCAATGTATCCATCCAGTAACCTAGTCCATTAACTAAACAGTACAATGTCCTTATCTTCTCCTTCCGATACCTTTCTCTCGAAGACAACGCTGAGTATGCACAGGATATCAGCTCACCAAGTAAACAGTCCTTGTGTTCAGTAGAAACGGTATTCAGCACAGTAGCCAACAAGCATTAACAAGCAGACGTCTCAAACAGGAGTAAACAGCAGGCAGCAGATAGCAGAGAGACCAGCAGACCAGTGACCAGAGACCAGTAACCAGGAAGTGTTACGTTTCTCTCACTGCCCTTTATTGCAGCTTGCAACCGCACCCTTAATTATCTAATTACATTGCAGTTTGGTGCTTAAAGCTACAAACACTTAAACCTAGGTTTATATATTTAGTCACCCAAACCTAGTTGGTGTATCCATATACCCAACATTCTCCCCTTTTGGGTGATATAAATATATAATACCCTTACAATCTTAACCCATACTTTTCACAACTCTCTTGGTGCTTAATGGCACCTTGGGCTTTAGTAAAATTATCAGCTATATTGTCCTCCGACATGCAGTACTCCAGCTGTATCACTTTACTCTTTACAGATTGTCTAACGTTTAGGTACCTTAAATCTGTATGCTTGCTCCTAGTTTTTACTGCAATATTTGTGGCCATTTGAATTGCTGCCTGATTATCTTCATGTACAATTATAGGATAATTTACAGTTATACCCATATCATTCATCATTTGTTTATACATGATTAACTCAGTACATAATAGTGATAAGCAGGAGAATTCTGCCTCCATAGTAGACAAACTTATATGCTGTTGTCTTATTGACTTCCAACCTATTAATGTCTTACCCAGCATTATGGCTGTTCCTGAAGTCGACTTTCTTGTGTCTCTTTCTGATGCAAAACTAGCATCTGCATAAGCACTCAATATGAGATCACCTTTTGGTTCTAGATACAGTGCATGGTGTAACGTTCCTTTAAGATATCTTAAGATTCTCTTCAATGCTATCCAATGACATTGAAGCGGATCATTATTATGTCGTGCCAGTTGATTAATACTATAAGCTATATCTGGCCTTGACCAATTGCTAATGTATGATAAGCTACCAATCAAAGATTGATATATTACCTTATCAAACTTGGGATTTTGAGTATCCATTTTGCAAATATCCTGACTCATTGGAGTCTTTGCAGGCTTACAAAGTTCTATCTTATAATCTATTAGCAATTTAGATATCTTATCTTCCTGAGATATCTTAAAACCTTTCTGTGTTTTCAGTATATTCAAACCTAGATATCTCTTTATCTCCCCTAATTGCTTGATTTTTATTTTCTTTCCTAATGATGCTATTATTTTATTTGCTTCATCATTAGTCTCAGTAATCAAGGCAATATCATCAGTGAACAATAATAATAATGATATTTTCCCATTTGTCTCCCTTTTAAACAGACATGGATCGGCTAAACCAGCTTTAAACCCTATATTGTTCAGTTCCTTTACAATATACTGGTTCCATTCATAGCCCGATTGTTTAAGACCATAGAGGCTCTTCTTTAACAACCAACAATCATTATTATTTTCACCTTTAAATCCACTAGGCTTTTTCATATATACAGTATGTCTTAGTGGAGCATGCAAGTAAGCAGTTTCCACATCTAAATGGTTAACTATATATTTCTTGCTTGCTGCCCACACTAAGGCTGCCCTTAATGTTGCTGCTTTAAGACTAGGTGCAAAGATGGATGAGAGAGATGGGAGGAGCTTGCGCCGTGGCGATACGGTTTGCAATCGAGCTCCTCGATTGCAGCCGATATCTCCGCCACTGGCCGGTCCAACGGACCTACGCTGTCCCGTAGGGACAGCCATCGTGAAGAGCATATCCTGAGGATTCCGGGGATACCGCAAAATCCCTGGAGAGCCCGGGTGAAGCTCTTCTTGCCAGCGGCGGAGAGGCAGCCCCCATGCTGCTGAGGCCGGGGCGACTCCAGACGGAAAGAGTTTGAGAAAGAGTTTGTCGGTTGGGTGAGAACTTCTTTTTTTTATTTAATTTTTTGAATTTTGAAAGTTTACTCTAATTATCTGAAGAAACCTGTGTGATTTTTGTTTTGTTTTTTGACAAAATTGATTTAGCGGCGTTTTTTTAGGGAAACGTCAAAGAGAGAATCCATTTTTTTTCTTTTCTTTGCTTCCGGACTCTATTGTTATTTATTGGATAACTGGACTGTTTTCTTTTTTCTATATATTCATATGTTTTATTCTTCTTCTGGACTTTTTATTTTTTTTTTTCTGGGCTAGAGGCTTCTCTTGACTTTGTTTGATTTTTCGGTTTCTGTCTTGTGTATTGCAAGCCGGCTTTCCCTTAAGAGAGGAGGGGGGAAAGTGAGAACTATGATACTTTGTAACACTGCCATCTAGAGGCTCGGAAATATTTAAAAAAAAAATAAAAAATAGACTCTTCTTCTCAAGGACATCCCCTGATAAGATAGAGGAAAGCACTTTGTGGAATATTATTACAGGTGTCTTTCTGGATATACATGGCTCAGCTTTGAAGCTTGTGGGAAAGAGAAGGGAGTTATAATTAGAGCCTTGGATAATTAAATAGAGTGCAGTGTTGTTGTTGTTTTTGAGTTCTGCCAACCCCTTCACTAACATCAAGGTCCTTACTTTTAAGCTTGATTTATTTGCAAAGGGAAGCCTCTGAATTTCTTTTTTCTACTTATATTTTATTTTGATTTAACTGATTTTATTTTTTCTTTTGCCTATTTGGATCCTGTTTTCTCTTTTTTCCTTTTTTTTTTAATGTACATCAGCGGACTATTTCTTTTTCCTTTTTTCAATTGAGGTTTTTTCTTTTTTTTTTCTTTTTCTGGCTGGACTAAGGTGTGGAATCTGAAGAAACTTATTTTTCTTGGTTTTTGTTTTGTTTTTTGTTTTTTCTCTTTTTCTTCTTCCCTTCTTCCTTTTTGGCTTTGTCTTGTTTATTATTATTATTGGGTTTTTATTTTTACTGTTACTTTTTTTTATGGTTTTTTTTTTTCTTTTTTTATTGGACTAAGGTCAGGAAGAATTTGAAGAATTTTTTTTTCTTTTTTTCTTTTTTTCTCTCACTTTTGGCTTTTTTATTGTTGGCCTTTTTACCTTGGATTATAATTTCATATTTTTTTCTCTTTTTTTTGTGGATTAAAATTTGAAAAAACTTGAAGAGTTGGAACCACTTAAAATGAGTAAGAAATTTATATCTTCGGGTGCCTCTATGTCTGCTTCTGCCTCCCCACCATCTGGACAGCGCTCAATTCAGACATTGTTAAAGCAAGATAAAGAGAAAGAAAAAGAACAAGAAAGAGTATCCTTCCAGATGATTATGCAAGGAATTCAAGATCTTAAGGTAAAAATGGATACTATTGAACAAAGAACAGGTAGGATGGAACAGATGATGGAAAAATATGAAGAGAGACTCCAAAATGTTGAAGAGGGAGGCAAACAAAGAGAGGAGAAAATTGGAAACATCGACAATAGATTAACAGCGATTGAACAAGAAAAAAGTGAGATGTTGAAGTGGGAGTTGGATAGATCAGAATTTTATCTTAGATTCCAAAATATAGAAGAAGAAAAAGGACAAGATTTGGTTGCGATAATGGTAGGAATTCTGGCGGAGGCGCTCGAGATAACAGAAGAGAAGATGATGGATGGAATTGATGAGATATATCGAGTTTTTACAAGATATGCGATGAGAAATAACCTACCCAGAGAAGTTCATATTAGATTTATTAAAAAATCTTTGAAGACACAAATATTGCAAGTAGCAAGAGAGAAGCCACTGAAATACAAAAGTAAAGAAATTTTGGTTTTAAAACAAATACCTAGAAGAGTGAGAGAGATGAGAAGAGAATACCGATTCCTGACTAAAAGGTTATTGGAAAAAGAGGTGTCTTACAGGTGGTTGATTCCAGAAGGATTGATGTTTACGTGGCAGGAACAGAGACATAGAATTGATTCAATTGAGAAAGCAGAACTGTTTTGTGCAGAGGTTTTTGGAGGCAGAGAAGGAGGAGCAGGAAAGGAGGTCCCATCAATTGAATCCCAAGAGGAACAAATGGAGGTTGGAAAAGAAGAAGGTGCAGTAGGTGGACAAGTGGATATTAAAGATCAACGTGAGGCAAGACCCACGAGAGTGGTTAAATCTAAATATAAAACATAATTATGGAAGAGAAAAAATTGATTACAATGAATATAAATGGACTGAATTCAGCTGTTAAGAGAAGGAAGATTTTTCATAAATTAATGAAATTAAGGTTCGACATAATTTGTTTACAAGAAGTTCATATTAAAAAGCAACATGAACAATTGTTATTACAACCAAAATTAGGGAAATTGTTTACCTCTTTGA